AAGCTGCTGGAACGAGTCCAGAGAAGGGCTACGAAGATGATCAGAGGGCTGGAACACCTCTCCTATGAAGACAGGCTGAGAGAGTTGGGACTGTTCAGCTGGAGAAGAGAAGGCTCCGGGGTGATCTTATTGCAGCTTTCCAGTACCTAAAGGGGGCCTACAGGAAAGCTGGAGAGGGACTTTTTACAAGGGTGTGTAGTGATAGGACAAGGGGCAATGGCTTTAAAGTGAAAGAGGGGAGATTTAGATTAGATCTAAAGAAGAAATTTTTCCCTCTGAGGGTGGTGAGGCACTGGAATAGGTTGCCTAGAGAAGTTGTGGATGCCCCATCCCTGGAAGTGGTCAAGGCCAGGTTGGATGAGGCTTTGAGCAACCTGGTGTAGTGGAGGGTGTCCTTGCCCATGGCAGGGGGGTTGGAACTAGATGATCCTTGAGGTCCCTTCCAACCCTAACCCGTCTATGATTCTATGAATTTGGGAAGCTAATTCTTAAATCCTCTTTGGACATCAAATTTTTGGACATTCTCTATTAAAAAAAAAAAAAAAATCAAGCAGTTGTGTTACTTTGGCAGGGCTGCCTGTGTGCCCGTGCCTTGCTGAGACTGGGAGGAAAGAGGCTGCTCTCCACAATGCCAGCAGTGCTCTTCCCACTGCTGCTGGTCACAGACGGGGAGGTGAATCCAAGCAGCTGGCCCACAGGACAAGAAGAGGGCTGCAGAGAAATGATTGCTCATCATTTTTCTCACTGTGCTCAGCCACTGCCTCATTGACAAGGCTGGTATCACACCAAAATAGTCTACGAAGGCCTCCTAGCATCAGTTTAAGAGTGTTTTGGCTCCTTTCTGCCAGAGGTGGAAGGTGATGAACGCAGCTCTAATGGCTCAAAACACCCAGTAGCTAGTGCATCCTCAACAACATCCTGCCATGCTCCTGCATAACACACTTCTAGGGTTACCAGCATTTGCTAGCACCAAAAAAAGTTCCCCCAGGCCCCCAGCCCTGGCCACAGCTACTTGGCTCTGATCTTTGCACAACAGCTTCCAGCTGCAGCTTCAACCAAAAGCCAGCCAAGGTGTAGCAACCACAAACCAGCACAGTTGTGCTCCTGGCAATAGATTTGGGGCCATTTATGGCAAAGATTTTCAGGCTTGGCTAGGTTGGTTTTTTTTTTTTCATCCTACAGACACTTTCATCTCTAAGCTAAACGAAGGCAGTGTTTAACTGCTGCTCTCCTGCTGTGCGCTAGCAGCAACATGGAGATTTACTTGCTGGCTAGTGGAGGGTGAAACATCCATTTACAAATGGCAGCTGCAAGCCTGGGGAAGTGGCTGCAGAGCTAAAGGGCCACTGGAGGTCTGAGAGCGGAGGGAGGTGTCTTACCTGCTCCTAGCCAGCAGCAGCATGCGAGGAAGCAGAGGTATCCTGATGCAGATACTATTGCTGTTTAATAAAAGCTTCTTCCCTAGACAGCTGTTGCTGAAAACTCTGCCAGGACTGCAGGGGGCTGGTCTGAGCCAGCTCAACAGTCAAGAGACTTGCTAAGGGAAGGAAGCAAGTTGCAGCTTTTTAATTTTTTCTACATTTTTGGTTGGTTTTTTTTTTTTTTTTTAAACAAACAAACAAACTAATTTTACTTTTCTAACCACCATGTCCTGAGCTTATGGCAAGTCCCTCCTGGCCTTGAGCTAAACCAAGTGAAAACAAAATAGACCCAGCTCCGTTCCCTACATCTATTCATTTAAAATTTTCCCTTTGCTTCTCCCTCGTTGTGCTGAAGCTGAGGGCTGCACAAGTCTACAGGACTGTCGTCCACCCAGGCTCTGGCATCCACCCCCTTGCCCACAATGAGTGGGCAAAGCCAAGGGATGGAGCCAGGCTGGCTTGGCTGGGTACCTAAGAGGGGGCAATGGGGGTATCCATCTCCCCACAACCCCACCAGCACCTTTCCCAGCACACTAGACATTCGCTCCGCTGCATGAACGTCCCCAAGTCTGCAGCCCTCCTCCTCAGAGCCGGTGGCCAAGGGGCAACAAGCTGCTGCAGCAGCACTCCGATGTTTAACAGCACAGTCACCGGCCTGTGGAAGGTGGGATTTTTTGCTAGTGCTTGGCTGAACCCCTGCGCACAGGCTGTGGGCTGGAGACACTGCGGGGATGCTTCGAGAGGACAAAAAAGAGCGCATTTGTAGACAGGGCAAGACTCAGCTGGGGTAGCAAAACTGTGAGACAAAGAAAGGGTGTTGAGGGGCAGCGGTGGGGTGGGAGGGTAAAAGGCCAAGGGGACTGTGGGACACTTGCCCACCACGGTAACCGCTTCCTCCAGCCCCAGGACATCACTCACTTAACCACAAAAGTATGAAAGTGAAATGGGAGGAGGTTTTTTTTCCCCCCTCTTTCTAAGCCATCAACCAGGCTGCCTTCCCCTGCCAGCAGCAGGGTGCAGCCTCTTGGCCCCGTGCGGGGCTGAGACCTGAGCCAGCAGAGGAAAGGTTCCTACCTATCCAGCCACTTAACCTCCTCCCTCAGGCTCAGGGAAAAAGCTGTTTGGATCTTCTCCAGCTCCACAGCCCTTCCAGCCACAGAAAGTATCTTCCCAGGAATGCAAGCTACCAGGCTGATAAGCACGTTTTAAAACAAGATGGGGATAGATTTTAAAGCTGTCCTTCAGGTCGGGCTGTGTTTACGCAGCATCCCGATAATTTGTCATGATGAGGGATTTTTATCTAGTTAACTCCAAAGCCGTAGCCTTACAGCAGTATGAAGCCTTGTCTTCTCAAATCACTTCAGCTTTTCAGCCCCAGAAAACAGCTGCTTGAAATGAAGAGGGGCCAGAAGAGGAGGAATCGGGTTACGAGGAAGTACGCTGACTTCATTTCCAACGCAGAGCTGCACCATAGACTCGACAAGTGCATTTACCAGCCATGGGCCTCCCACTTAACAGCGTGTACCAACTCCCAACACAAGGAGCTGGATCCCAACTTTATCTTGCCCTGCCTCCACTGCAGGCAGCTACCACAGCAGCGTGGCTGCGAGATGCTCGTCACCACCACTAGTGAGGCATGTTTGCAAATGCCAATTAAATATCCCAATTAGCCTGCAGTGCAGACAGGACAGCATGCAAGTTGCCATAAGCCACTCAGCCCAACAGCAAGGCTGGGCTCATCATGCTTTCAAGCACCTGCTTTTCAAAGCAGCACCTCATCATGCCACCACACAGCAACTTGCTCCAGGCTCATGCCCAGGGTTCCTGGCCCCAGCATAACCAGCCATGCAGGGGGAAGAGCCATTTCCACATCACAGATCCGCTCAGTTTTAAACACTCTGACTCATTGGAAGTGGGAGCCAGGGATATTAGACTCTACACAGCCAGACCAGGGTCTGCACAGCCACGTAAGCCCACAATAAGCTTACTCCACTGAGAAGCAAGAGTCTCAAACTAAGGAAGTGCTTATTCTCTCCTTCCTGCAAAGCTCCCAGTTTTTAACAAAGATGCAATGGGAAGATAACATCCTCACCCGGCCCCGCTGAACAAATCCTCCACAAGGAGAGGGCGAACTGGCTCGCAGTGATTTTATTTAGGCTTTGAACCTGGCCCCCTGCCTTTCAGCCCTGTTGGGTGAAGGCAGAGGAACATTAATTTACATTGCTCATGTTACACCAAAGTTGCACCTCAGCCAGAAGCGCAGCTGGCCCGACTCATTCTTGGAAAAGCTACAGAAAATATGCATGCAAATGAAGTTCCCACAGAACTAAAATAGGGTGTTTAAACCAGGCAAGAACCTCCAAGATAACTGGGGCATGCTCCACTCCCACCTCCGCAGACAGTATCTCACTCCTCCCAGCCCGATGCCACATCTATCTTACCCCTGCAGAAACCTACCTCCACCTCAGCCCTCCGGCTCCAGGGGCCAAAACCTGGCACAAGACAGCAAAGACACCAGAACTGCTCAAGGGGAGGGCAGAGGCCTCGCAGATCAGCAGCGAGCAAGGGGGTCATGCCCTCCTCTCCTTTTGGGCACCTTAACCTCCTACACCTGCAGCAGTTAATGACTCGCAGTCTGAGGTAACATCCCTGGTCAGGCACACCACTGGTGTCAGCAGCAGCAAGATAAACCCCCTGGCCGCAGCTGGGGCTCCATGAGGGCACTTGTGTTCCTTTATTCAATCCAGACTGCCACGAGGTCAGACAGGTAGAAAGCGCAAGGAACCTGTTACTGTTGCATCTTAGCAAGAACCAGAGAAGCAACACTTGTTTGCTCCAGGTCTGTCAAACAGATGCATTTCCTAAATACAGCAGGAAGAGGAGTTACAAATACTCCAGTAAGTCTCAAGCCCAGCCACACACCTGCTCTGGAATAAGCTTAGGATGGAGCCAGGCCATCCTGACATTTCTCTCCCCAAGGAGAAGGCAAGTGCAGAAAAACCCAAAATCTTTTGACTGAGTTTATCTGCTCCTGAGTAGCTGTCAAATACAGAGGAGCTGGTACCATAGCCAGGCTTTGCTGGAAAACCAAGTAATATCTCCCCCTCCCCACCATGTTCCCACTACCTGGGCTCAGACAGAGTGCTGGTTAGACTAGTGCTCCATCCATCCTCCTGCCTTCATCTTGAAGTCATACTACAACTGAGGACAGACTCAAGTATCCTTGTCTGAGAAAAGCTCAGCCAGTGCTCAGCTTGAGTAGCACATACTCCATTCTGTTGGCTTTCTTTTTTTATTAATTTTGGTATCTTCCAGAGATGGAAGCCTCTGTGCAATTGTGAAAGATGAAGGTCCACTCCGCTACGATGACATTTCTTGAGCTTTGCCTTATTCCCCTCAGCCTGCTCTTCCACTCCAATGCCAAAGGGAGAAACCACATGAGGGCTGTCTGGAGACAGTCGAGTTGTAGCACGCAAGGTCCAAGCTGTACTACTGACAATACCAAATCCTTGGACAAACATCTTGCTGCACCCACTCCTAGTCACCCTAGAAACACACTAGACACCAAAAGGCATCACCTAGAATGGGTTTAAATGAGTTTTATTTTAGACAACCTACATGACAGATGTTTGTTTTTTTCTTTTTTTTTAAAACAATGCCTCCACTCCAAATCAGGGTCAAAATTAAGTGAATAAAGCTCAAGATGACATCAGTCCAGTTAGACATTGCCAATTCCTGGTGGTGTGCCGATGAAGAAACAGCAGCCAGCTATGAAGACAGGTGATCCAAAAACCATAGTTTGATTTGTTACTGAAACAAAAGCAGCAAGTGTTAGTTCAAGGTCATGACAGTCAGGGTAAGTTTCTGTAACTTAAATTTTGTGTTTTCCCTAATTCAATCTGAGCTGCCACAATCAGGCAGGCAGGAAGCGCAAGGAAGTTATTTTTGCATCTTAGTGCAAACCACAGAGCAACAGGACAAGTGCTCATGGTCTATCAGAGGATGCTGAGCATTTATTTCTACCATCATACAGAGCAACTGGCACCAGCTGCTGAGTGAGCCAGACAAGATGCTCATTCACACCCTTTTTGCTTGACACACCGAGTTTCAGATTTCCTCTCCAATAAGAGCATGTCCTCACAAAGTACTAAGGCTTACAACGCATGTGCTGCCTCCTACAAGAGCCATACCAAGAAGGTGGAACAGCTTTTTGCCCACCAGAATGCCCTGTTATTATTCTTTTGCCCCGTCTGGAAGTAGATGGGGTTATCAGAATCACACATCCGAAAGGTCCGCCCAAGCATGGAAGGTCCATGCGAGCTTCTGCTCAGAGGAGTTACTCTCCAGGTGACCACCTGTTCTAGGGTCCAGGACACACACACCACCCTTCAGTCAAGCTGCAGGAGATGGTGTGTCTGGGCTGGTAAGCGTTCCCCTAGTTGGGCTACTGCTCCACACTAGAAGTTGGTTCATCTTTACATGACTTGCATACCAGAGAGCCTGTAAGAGGCTTCCCAGATAAATTTAGACAGCTATAAACAGGCTTCATAAGTCCGCAATGACTGGGCAAAGCAATTGGTGATCCCACACTGCTCGTCTGCAGGGAATTCCACAGCTCTCGGAATAAGCCAAAAAATGCAAGTGTTGGGATTCAAATACTGTTTCCTTACAACCACATTCCAAGATAGAGTAGTTAAAGATAAAGCAGTCCACAGGAGCTGCCTGAGCTCAGGCAGTTGGAGGTTCCAGACAGAATAACCTTAAGTATTCAGTCAAGTATTACCATGTTCCCAAATTCAGGGGAATATTTAGACAGACAGTTGTTGCATAACAAAGGAAGGGCATCAGATTAAGTGAAAAGATGCAACGTGACCATGTAAGGTACTTCAGAATTAACCCTCGCAGAAGGGGTCCAAAGTAGAAGTGCTCCACTTCAGAGGACACTGTCCTTAATCTAAAAGTTTAAAACCATTACCGATTACACACATCTCAAAGCAATTCCTTCATTAAGTCATCAAGAATCACTGCAGTGAAACTATGTCCCCCTTTAACACAACTGAATAGTACACAAGAGAAGTTTCAGCCACTTCATGTAATAGGAAGCAACAATTAGGCTCTAATTATATGAACTTCAAGCTCTTAAACTGGCAGCTACTGTTCAGCTTTAACAGGGATATGACAGAACTGATGCACTGAAAGAGCTAATCATTCATTGGGCAATTCACCCAATTCAGGTCAGTACTTACACACTTCTCAATTTCTAAGCCATCCTTAAAGAAAATCATATATGGGGTCACACCATCCTCACGGAAATCCAGGAGAGCCACCATACCATCTGGATTCATGTTCTCTCCTACAAAGAACTTCAGAAAAACTTGTTACTGAGACACTTAATGAGCTACCACCAGAGGAAAGTGCCTTTTCTACAAGAAAGCTGTAACATCTACTAGCTAGTCTCCCCGACCAGTTGCAGGGATTTTGCTTTCTGCAGCTTTTCCATTTTAGTACCACGTAACTTTTCCACAGTGCTATGAACAGCAGTCAGACACAGCAGGGGCCAAAGTGATCCCTCTTTCAAGTCTTTTTAATTAAACAGTTCCTAAATGGTAAAGTGTAGCTGTGCCTACAAAGTGTAGCTG